TCCACAAGTAACAATTCTTGACTGATTTTAACAAAACTTTGGACAAAAATATTTAGTATGAGTTATTGCCCGTGTTCTTGAAACGCTCATAAACACTCTAGAAGATGGATTTTGATGAGTTTGGTGTAAGTGTTTGTTATCGACCAAGGACGAACCCTATTGAAAATCAGAAAAATCAAAACATAATTAGTATGAGTTATTGCCCTTGTTCTTGAAAACGCATTCAATTTAGCCTGTAAACACTATTCTTGACAGATTTGAATGAAAGTTGGTGTGAGTGTTTGTTATCACCCTAGGATGAACCCTATTGAAAATCAGGAAAATCGAAAAATAATAAGAATGAGTTATTGCAAATGCTTTCAATATTAGAATATAAACACTCTAGAAGGCACAATTCTTGACGGATTTTGACGAAACTTGGTGTGTTTGTTATCACCCAAGGATGAAACCTATCAAAAATCAGAAAAATCAATTTCTTGACAGATTTAGATGAAACTTGGTAATATTATTATGTATGACTAAAGTTTTTTTATACCGGTACTTGTTACTGTACTGCAAAATATTTTTATTTAAAATCCAAGCTGCCTGTGGGCGTATATTACCTTGCCTGGAAAGCTATCTTAATCATTGTTTCAAAGAAGGCTTATTCATGGTCACCATACTTTCACATGTGAACTTTGATAAAGCCCATATTATATGCAGTTTAGATTAATAACTGTAATAATTGGAAAGGTATTTTGAAGATACATATTGCTTACGTTATTGAGCATGCGCCAGTCAGTAATCAGGCACACTTAAAGGGAAAACTCTTCAATCAATGATGTTAGATATTGTATTGTAAAGATGGCGGTTTTACAGTATGACAATAATAATACGAAAGAATTTACATGCACGTGCAGGGGGAGGTAATTCAACAAGTACAGTTCGTACACATAAGAATAGTTCAGGCTAGTCTAATACGTAACTACCATGAAATGGCGAGGCCTCTTTATCTTTAAAATCACTACTAGTCTGAATATTCACAAATAAGGTAATCATTCACAATTATAGTCTTGTAAGTAGCTTGGTTTCTAGTGTACACGACGTGGACGTTGTGGCGCAGGATCGACTGTTGTAACGGGACTGTTGATTGGTAAGTCTGCAGGAACAGCAGGATCTGGATTATAGTTGATACTTTGCATGTTGTTTTCCGATGGTGGCTCTGCAATGACATCAGGAATCTGGGGTGAGTGTGGAGTTGGGACACATAATGACTCATCAGGTGGAGACGATAGGGGAATAGTACAAACTTCGTCGTCGCTTAACGAGTCCTCTTGTGGATTGATAGTCATATCAGAGTAAAAGTTCGTTATCGGAATACACGCACAGAGTTTCACTTTATAAGGCAAAGACCGGAGTTGGTTTCCGGTAAACTTTCGGACAAAACACCATCCCTTATCAATGTTTGTTACGAGATATCGACTTCTACCACGAGTTTTGTCCCTATCGGTGGTTAAATAAACAAGATCGCCAACTGATGGAGATGGTTTTGATAGATGAGACTGTCGACTTGGGGTCTTGACTTGGGTCTTGGATGACTGACTGTAAGGATGGTTTCTAAGACGAGATTCATGCTGTTGTAGAATCAGATCACGGTCACAAATTGGTAACTGGGTGTTATCAAACTGGCAGCGCTGAGTCCATATCTCGCGAGAAGAAAGGCCTCTATTTCTGAGACGTGAATTTAAATTGGACGTAACGATGGATAAGCCAAGAGGTGTGACCGTCCTCCTTCTG